CTGACACCAAGGAAAAGCAGTGACTCATTTACTTTCTCTTAACAGCATCACCCTTCATCCTGAGGTAGCCAGAGAGGTATAGAATAGAGTCCTCAGCAGATGCCCAGGATGATCTGATCCCACAAATGTGGAGATCTTTCAGTACTCATCAGTAATACTTCCTTACCCCACAGTCCATGTTGGACTGCTCCTGTACCAGCCAGTCCTCTGTGACAACAGTTACTTCCTTCACCACCTCTGTGATGAGGAAACTCCATCCTTGATAAGAAATGTTCTCACCCACTGTCAAGTATGACGTCAACATTATTTATGATTCATTCCTACTTATTGGTCTGTTTTTAGGACGTTCACTGTTTTTTTTGTATAAAAGTAATGGAATCTGTTTCTAGAAAAAGTGGAAATATGCAAGTAGGTAGAAGACATACACATTACACCAAGACAACCTCTGTCAATATTTTGGTTAATTTTATTTCTGTGTTTTTCATTATTCTTTCATATGAAGATTTTCCCCTAATTTAGACTTTAATGTTACAAAATAATCAGTTTTTATTGTTTTAATCTGTTACATAGATCAAATGAGTTTCAACACAGCAATGAGTGTATCATTTAATCATATCATTGTTTATGTGTTTATGCAGATGCTTCTTGGATTATGTTAGGGATACATTTTAATAAATAGATTAGAATTAAAAAAAAATCTACTTGATACACCTGACCTACAGAGCATGATTAGCCTCACATACATTGAATTTGGTCAGAACATTTTCATTTTTTAAAGTTGATGGAATCATCAAACCAAAAGCATACTTGTAATAAAATGCTGGAAAGCTCCTATAATTTACTGACTACCCGCCAATCAAAACAAAATACACTAATACTTGTGACACAGTATACTCTTCATATCTTTTAAAAGTAGTAGTTTTATTACTTTTTTGAGAATTTCCTAAATATATTTAACATAGTTTGATCATATCCATCTCCCCTTCACCCAAGACTCCCATCACTTCCCCCTTACAGACTTTATGTTTTCACCCTCATGACAGAATTGTTGTTTAGATCCAACATTAATAGGAAGTGTCAGACCATGTATTGCAACTCAAAGAAAAGGAATTTAAAGCACAGCCTTTTTAGAATTAGTATCACTTCACACTATCAAAAGCATGAAAAATACTGAGCCATAATAAGTCAGGAACAAGATGTATAAAAATTACACATAACTATTTAAATGTTTACTGTTTAAAAACTATTATCTAGGAAGGTACTGCACAAAGATTTGATAAAAATCTGCACCACTGTTGCTCTTAAAATTAATATTTTTCACCTTCTATGAAAATGTTTATCAATGAGTCTGAATTTTTAGAGGCTTAGTTGCACCTAGATATTAGTCAATATAGATATTTCCTTTCATTGGGCATTTTTCTCTTCGTGATACCTTTCAAATATGAAAGCTGTTTTAATTTTTTAAAAAATATTTAAATTTTCAAATACATCTTTTCTTTGTGCTGCACTTCATTGTTTTCATCTGTGTGGTTACACAATTTGCAAATTTTTACTTTTTACATTTAAAATTATCTTTATTTTATCCATTGGCATTTACTTACTATTCCTGGTGTACTTTGAGCCTACACTCACAGCCACACTCCTCTAATTTCTTCTTTGCTACGTTTCTTCTTTCCATTAGTCTTCTTTGTTTTACTAAACAATTTCACTTCTAGTTTCATGTTATATATGTATATCTAAACGCATATATACATATGTGATTTTATATATCTATGTAAAATCTAGCAGCCATAGATAAGAAAATGCATGCAACGTCTGTTTTTCTGAGAATTAGCCAAACATGATTAGTCCCAACTACATGACTTTTCTTGAAAATGACAGAACTTCATTATTCTCTATGGTTGAAAAAGTCCCTTGTGTGTATATAGCACATATTTTTATTAGTTCTCCTGTTGACAGACACCTGGCTTGGTCCCATAAATTAGCTATTGAGATAGTGCTGAAATGAACATTGATGGGCAGGATGTAAATTTTAATGCAATACCCCTATGGACCTGAAGATACAGCCTTAACTTATGTGGCAGGTAGTTTAGGGGACACCATACTACCAGTGTATTTTAAAGGTATACCACTGTTCCATAACAGATTAAACAAATAAACAAAAGTGCTGGATCTTATACTTTTGTTTTGGAAAAACTAAAGAGTTAATCAAATAATTACAGAATAGGATGTTCAAAATAAACATTGAGCACTTCTTTTAAAAACAAGGCCCCTATCCAGAATGTTCATTATTTCATTTTAGGTAGTGTAATTTGATTAAACATGGCAACCCTTGGCTACTTTAGTATCAGCAAATCAATTGTATAATTCATATATTAAGAACAGCATTATATTAGGAACAGAAGAGTAGTAATTAAGAATAGCATTATTATGTAGTTTAGATAGCACACATGTTGCTCTTAACTTGGGTGACAAAATACTATCATTCTTGGGCTTTCTATGAGCTCAGTGCTTTGTGCCAAACCTGTTGTCTTCTCTACAGCTGATCACTTTTGGGACTAAAGGGGTGGGTGACAACTGGGATTTGGAAAGTATAACTAAGTTTTATTTCACCAATCTGTTTTCACATGGCTTTGCAATCACTTGTACATTACCTTTATGTGATTCTGCTTAGCTTAGTCTATAGGACTTATAACACAACCCTGTACTGATTGCCTATAATGGGTAAATATGTCAGACACTGTTCTCAGTACTCAAAATGTACTGGCTATAATACAAATGTTGGTGAATATTTGTCTATATAAGTAAATGAGATCATTTTTATTAAATTATTCATTAATTTTATGAGGCTGTGACAAAAATACCTAAGAGAACAAATTAAAAGAGGAATAATTTATTTAGTTGTGGTTTCAAAAGATTACTCCCATGGCTGCTTGGTAATGTAAACTTGAACATAACATCATAACAACATCAAGTTTTATGAAGAAGAGGTGTCAGAAAGGAGCAGAAAATATGGAAGAAATTATGGGTATAACCTTTAAAAAGCAGAATCTAGAGTGATTTAGTTTTCTCACCTGCTGAAGTATCCAAAGCATCCCAAAGCAAAACCACTAGCTGGAGACTAAGTATGCGAGAGACAAGAGCTTGAGGAAGGGACTGTGCAGATCTAAACCATAGTAGTATAGTAAATGAATGCATCACGTGACATATGGGGATGTAGATGTAAGCAGATAATTTTAGCGTGAAGTAAGCCCAGAAGAGTGTGGTAGCACAAAGAATGAGCTCTGCTTGCAGTGGCTTGTGTGAACTAAGCTCAGGGCCAACAGATTGTTTCAGTCAGAGAGAGAAGTGCTAAGAGATGTGGGGATACACTAATGTCACTACATCAGAAATGTAACAATTCTTAAACAGATGGAAATAAAATGAAAACCAATAGGGAAAGATAGTATAGTAGAGGGACATGAATGGAGTAATTAACTCCAGTCAACTACTGGAAAGGCCTTATGGAAAAGGGTACGGCATAGTGGTGTTTGCATAGATGGACTCTGGAACCAAGCCATCTCCATTTAGAACGTTGACTTTGACCTCACTGGTTGTAACTTGACCTCTGTAGCTCTCAGCTTCCTGATCTATGAAGTGGAAATAATAATAATGCCTAGCTCATAGGGCTGATAAATGCCCCCAGATAATCCACCTAAAGTCTTAGTAAAAAGCACTCAACAAAAGTTAAAGTCCTGTTATTATTACATTGAGAGTCAATGCCAGATAACTTTTTCAGCATGAAAGGAAGAGAATGAGAAAAGGCTGGGAGTTAATGCACCTGACACACCAAAAGGTCACTGCCAGCTAAACTATAGTCCTGGGGACAGTCCGTGGGCTGTTTGTTATTGGTCTGTGATATGAGGGTAAGCAGCTACAAGTATAAAAAGTATAAAACAGGGCACTGTTTTTTTTTGTTTGTTTGTTTTGTTTTGTTTTTTTTTACTCATTGCAACCTGCATTCTTGTTTTAAACAAAAACTAGAGTTTGTTATTTTATAGCTTTTCATTCACCTTTGTTAGATTTTTAATTGCATTTTACAAAAATAACAGTCATAGGAGATTGGAAATAACTTATTCTTCATCCAAGATAGTTTAAGAAAAATGTAATTCGGTGGGGCTGGATTCGTCTTCCCAGACACCATTCGTGGAAAGCCAGCTGGGACCATGTTGTAAAGACCCTGGAATACCGCACAGAGGTGACAGATACACGGTGTGAATACACAGTGGCCGGTTAGAGGGGCGGTTATATTGTCATATGTATGTAGGTGAGAGGCCTCTGCATGTTTCTCTTCCTAGATGTTTAATTTTTTTCTTTCCTGTTTTTCGAAGCATGTGAGTTTTCGTTTTCTTGCACTCCTCCTATGAAGCTCACTCTGGCCTGGTATTCAAGATCCTCCTGCCTCCATCTTCTGGGATCTGAGATAACACACACACACGCACACGCACACGCACACACACCAGTATGCCTGATTTTTTCTTGTGTGTGTAAGGATTCTGAGAGACAGAAACTGTGAAGTATTTCACAAAGATAACTCTGATAAAAGACTGGTTAAACAAAGAGACTTAGACTCACCAGAACACAAAACGTTAAAAAAATACGTGCACTTGTACTTTGTGAGTACTGAAGCATATTTCTTTCCCGGCTACCTTCCTAAACATACAAATGATTTTCTGTTCTCCTAGTTTACATCATGACTTCTGCCTTCATGATCACCTCCTCTCTTAGGGTCCTTCAACCTTGAAGGAAGGGAGAAAATAGCCTGGAGGTTTGTTTTAATTTTGAGGAGGACCTCCCCTATCAGTGGACTGGGGGACGGGCATGGGAGGAGAAGAAGGAGGGAGGGCAGGATTGGGAGGGGACAAGGGAGGGAGCTACAGCTGGGATACAAAGTGAATAAACTGTATTAATAAAAAAATAGAAAAATATAGCTTGGAGAGAGAGAGAGAGAGAGAGAGAGAGAAAGAGAGAGAGAGAGAGAAACTGGGTCTCATTCATTCTGTAGCCCTTGCTAATAAGCCTCAAAGTCCTGGGCGATCTTCCTGTGTGCTCAGCCTTCCTAGGGCCGAATGATTACTACTAAGGGCAAAATAATTTAGTTGCTTCCCTTAGGAAGGAGTTTGACAGTTCCCAGCACAAGATCTCCAGAAGCCGGGCCTTAAGGATCCTCCTTGCTCTAAGCCAGGCTCCTGAGGCAGACACCGACCTGGTTCGGGTCCCGCCACTGCCTCTGTTTAAGCCCAGGTCTCAGACTGCAGCAGGGAGGGTCGCATCAGTGTCTGCCTCCCACCGGCCAGGATTCACTCCGCAGGTGCCCTGGCAGGTGAAGAAGCCAGGAGCGCAGACCCAGAGCTCCAGGGCTCTTCTGCCTTCTGCGGCCTCTGGAGGCCCGCCCTGAGGGCCCAGCAGGGGCCAAGAGACCTTCCCGGTCCCGCCCCCAGGATGCGTTTCTAGTCCGCAGGCCTCGCTGGCGTGTTGCTGCAGCTGCTCCGCAGACCCTCTTGACAAGGTGCGTGAGCCCGGGCCGTGGGCGACCCGCTTCTCGCGGTAGTCGGGAGGGCTGACTGAGGCCAGCCTGCCTGGCTGCCAGTGAGCTTCCTGACAGTGCTGGAGAGCCAAGCGCAGAGGCCAGGCACTGCCTGCCATCATACTGAAACCCAGAGGGAGAGCCCAACAGCTGGTGCCTGTCACCTGTAGCCTTTCTCCTAGGGCCCTGCCTGCCTTTCAGCTGCCTAGGAACTCCCTTCAGCCCTTCTCTGGAATTTCCCCTAGACCTTGAGCTGCCAAAAGGGATTAACCAGGGTGGGGTGGGAACACTTTGGGGGTTTCTTGCTTTCATTTTCTATTGGGTGTGAAAGGCCTGGTTCCTGAGTTGCCAGTGCCTGCCTTATAGTACTCAATAACAAATGACTATGAAGTAGAACTGAATGAATTAATGGACGAATACGTAGGAAATAGTGCACAGCGAACAAATAAATGACTGAATTAGTGAATATAAAAGTGGAGACATTGTGCTCACAGGCTCTCAACTGTTTTTCTCAGAGTTAAGTGTTTTACAATCTCTGTGGTTAATTGAGAGGAGTTTGGTTCTGTGTGATCGTTAAATAGTCACTAGTTACACACACCCTATTATCTACTTTATTTGGATTTGAGTATATGTTTTGCTTAAAACAAAGATATACCCGAGCTGTTTCTTGCTTGTGATTTGTTCTCTGCTTTTGGTTTTGAGACATCATTGTCACCACAATATTTAATGTTGTCCCAAGGTACAGAGTTACATCTAAAGGAAGAACCATGTTGCAGACTTACGTGTAAATCCAGACATTTCTCTGGAATCCAAGATTATGAACCATGTCTATTTTCCTTAGACAAGAGCTGGTGGAGTTGCAGGTGAATGAAGAAAGCTAACATGTCTAAGTGAGGAAAAGAAAATCATTTATCTGTGTGCACATCACACAAAGACGGTTTTAATATATTTGGCTACTCTTGCAGTTCTGTTTTCTAGATCCCAAGTTCCACAAGTGATCTTGAGTTTGTCATTTATCTCTTTAGAGGTGTGGAGGCTTGGGGGCCTGTAGTCAACTGTAAACATCTTTCTCAAAGGTTTTATTCCTTTATTCCTTAAGCTTTTTTGAGACAGCACATCTCAGTGAACCTGGAGGTCACTGATTCTGAGGGTAATTTAGCCAGTGAGCTCTGGGAATCCACATGATTTCATCCTGTCAGTGTGGGGTCACAAACATAGGCCCATGCCCCTGGTTTTGATGTGGGTGTTTGGTTCTTATACTTACATGTTAAGTACTTTACAAATTGAACTGTTGTCTAATTATCAGCTTTTAATTTTTTAATCTCTCGAATGATGTTACTTAGCTAAGTTCCTCTCCTGAGTTAAACTTTGTGCATGTTCTTTGATCACGGTTGAAGGTGAAGATTTGAAGTGATTTGGTGGAATTCTACATACTTCCTCTGCTCTGCTTGGGTTTCTGTGAGTCTTGCCTACACTTCGTGCTTTGCAGATTACACCTCCCTTGCTTTTTTTAGTGTACTTGGAAGCACAGCCTGAGACCTTCAGTTGTAGATTAAAAAGAGGGCAATATTTTCTCCTGTACTATTACAGGCTCCACTCTGCGTCTCTGCTGTTTCCTGTCAATCCAGTCATATAATGCCACAATTTCCAGCATATTTAACAAATTGTATCATTTTAAGTTGTTATAATATATCACAACATTTTAGAGCTAGAAGAACCTTGGATATTTTTAAAGGACACTTAAAAAGACATTGTAACATAAATAATAAAATATTGCTTTGCATGCTATAGTTAACAAACACATATTCCAAAAATTAAATCCATGGTACCTACTTATTTCAAGTCTATCTGGTAACATGTTTTGTTTTGCTTAGTGAAAAAGACTGACTTTCTTGAGTTGTTTTCCCAAAGAGCTAGTTGTGTGGTCATGTGTCATTCAGATATAAAATGGTCAAGGTTGATATTTATGATGTTCTGACCATACATTTCACTGTTCATTTAAACTTCTTATTTATATTGTACCATTTAATTTTTACCATAAACCTAAGAGCAAGGTACAATTGAAATTCTTTTTGACCTTACTAACATAAATAGTACTTGAAAAATGGGAAGTCAGATTTAGAACAGTTGCAGATAGAATCAGAATTTCTCCCATGTACATAGACAGTGCCTGCTGTGAAATCCTGAGCGATGTGAAAGACTGATTTCATGTGTTTTGGAACATGTATAGAACCTGGATATTCTTTCCATATTCAGTGAACTGAGAATGGGGGCTGAAGAGTAGAATTATTAAGGTGGACTTAGTTATTTTATTATTTTTTTTTAAATTATCACCCAGAGGCCATCAAGTTGGCTACTTGATAAATGTGCTTGCTGCCAACCCTAATGAACTAAATTCAATCCCTGGACTACACTGATTCTGCAAGTTGTCCTCTGATTTCCACATAGTCAGCATGTTGTGCATGTGTTCACATACATACACACACACACACACACACACTAAATAGATTTAATAAAAAATTGTTACCCAAGTATGGTGACTCACACTTGTAATCCCAACACTCGGATGCCTACGCAGGCGGATTGCTATGAGTTTATTTGTTCAAGGATAGCCTGAGCTGAATGAGATATTGTCTAAGGGAAAAAAAAAATCCAGTGTGATTTGACACTTTGCACCCAAATACTCATGTATTCTAGTAATTTTATTTATTTAGGGAATTTACATTGAGGGTTCTCATCAGTGAAGGGCATTTAAGGGTGCTGTACCATGCCATGACATCTAAGCTCTGCTTTGCAGGCATGCATATGTGTGTGCTTGTGCATGTGCATGTTCGTGGGTGAGAGTGTGCATGTGTGTGTGTGTGTGTGTGTGTGTGTATGTGTGTGCACGTGTGTATGAGTGCATTAGCTTTGTGTCTTTGATAAAATGCTGCTTACCAAACTCCTACTAGGGAATACTGGGAATGCGCGATGGGCTTCCAAGAGCCTTATCATTAAATGATGAGAGCAAAAAACTGGCCTGTAAAATAAGTGGAAACATATTCTGCTTCTTTTTGTCTGCCAGACTTAGCTTCATGAAAGGCAGAGACCAATGGTAGCCTGCACATATGAGGGTCTATGCTAGTTTGATTTAGCTCGGAAGGTTGGATGCCTTTATGCCCTGGAGGCTCCTGTGATGGCACAGACTTTCCCATCGCTCACAATATTATGAAAAATTTAAAGCAGAGACTTTCTAATTGAGCTGGAGGTGGGGCTTTAAAATGTACTTTCTCTTCCACCCACTGTCACTCTCTCTAAACCACTTAGCTTTTTGTTGTTGTTGTTTCTTTTTTGTTTTGTTTTTATTATGATTTATTACAATTTATTCAATTTGTATCCCAGCTATGGCCTCCTCCCTCATCTTCTCCCAATCCCATGCTTCTTCCCTCTTCTCCCATGCCCCTTCCCTAGTCTACTGATAGGGGATGTCCTCCTCCCCTTCCCTCTGACCCTAGCCTCTCAGGTCTCATCATGACTGCCTGCATTGTCTTTCTCTATGGCTTGGTAAGGCTGCTCCTCCCTCAGTGGGAGATGATCAAAGAGCAGGCCACTGAGTTCATGTCAGAGAAAGCCTCTGTTCACCTTACTAGGGAACCCACTTGGAGACTGAGTCTATGGGCTACATGTGAGCTGGGGTTTTAGGTCCTCTTCATGCATTGTCCTTGGTTGGGGTACATTCTTTTCAGGGCCCCCAGGGTTCAGTTTTTATGGCATAAGGTATGGAGCTCCTGTCCCATACAAGTATTTCTATCTCCCGTTTCTTTCCCTGAACTCTGCCCAAAGTTTGGCTATGAGTTGCAACCTCTGCTTCCATACCTCTATCAACAAAGTCTTTCAGAGGCCATCTGAAGAAATTGCAGTACATTTACACACCCCATGAAATACTACTCAGCTATTAAAAACAAGGAAATCATGAAATTTGCAGGCAAATGATGGTAACTAGAAAAGATCATCTTGAGTGAGGTAACCCAGAAGCAGAAAGACACACATGGTGTATACTCACTTATGAGTGGATATGACCCATATAATATAGGATAAACATACTAAAATCTATACTCCTAAAGAAGCTGAACAACAAGGAAGGCCCTAGGGAAGGTGCTCAATCCTCATTCAGAAGGACAAATGCGATAGATATCAGAAATAGGAGAAGACAGGGAATAGGACAAGAGCCCCTTTAGCTTTTTTTAAAAAACAATCCATTCTTGTGCTTGCCATTGGATTATTAGTCCTTTCTTTTTATGTCAGAGCATGTTCCTTCCTTCTTTCATTCATTTCTTTCTTTTCTCCTTACTTTCTTTGTCATTTCTTCCCTCCCTCCTTTTATCTTTTCCCACTCTTCCTGTTTTAATACAATTTTTCATTCTGTAGTTCAGTTGTCCACTCACTATGTACCCAAGGCAGCCTTCAAACTTGCTGGAACCAACCATTGCACCTCAGCTTTTCAACTGCTAGGATTATAGGTGTCAGCCACCCCATTCAGCTCTGGGCTCTTCTCTGTAACATAGCAAAGCACTATGACCAACTGGTGTGATTCTCTTTAGTTATAAATTTATTTGGCAAATATTAATATATTTTTAATTTTATTTTTTTCTTATCAGTTACATTTTAATAACTCTGTATCCCAGCTGTGTCCCGCTCCCTCATTCCGTCCCAATCCCACCCTCCCTCCCTCATCTCAACTGTGCCCCTTTCCAAGTCCACTGATAGGGGAGGACCTCCTCCCCATTCATCCGATCCTGTTTTATCAGTTACCTTCAGGGCTGGCTGCAAAGTCCTCCTCTGTGGTCTAACAGGAATGCTCCTCCCTTGGGGGGTGGGGAGGTCAAAGAGCCAGTCATTGAGTTCCCGTTAGAAATAGTCCTTGTTCCCCTCACTATGGGAAACCAATTGGTTACTGAGCTACCACAGGCTACATCTGAGCAGAGGTTCTAGGTTATATCCAT